ATGGAGGTCAGACATCAAAGTCACATATTGCATCATTGTTCAGGTCCCCACAGAAGAAGGGTCCTCAGAATTCTCCAAGTGTTCTCTACACCCATCATACTTGATTGGCATAAAAATGAAATGTTAGTTTTGGTCCAAGGGAAATATTTTTGCCATTCCTCAATATGGGGGGGGGGAAGGGCAGAGTGATCCAGAACCTCTATTCATGGACCCCTAGATCAGGGAATGTTGACATGAATCGACAAAACTATGAGTTGAGAGGAGGAAATATGCTACGTTTCTACTTATAGTCCCAATCCCACAAAAGATAGGTCCATAGATGTGGTACAGACAGTACTCAATGAATATTGAAGGTGTTACAGATCTTTATATGAATTACTCAGAATCATTCTCCGCCATTCTTTCTCCTCACTCTGCTTTCTGGCCTAGCAGATTCACCTTTGTATCCTTTCCAATCTCCTTCCTCTTTCATTCTGTACCTCTTCTTTTCCCATTTTATTTCAAATTCTCTGCTCTATACCTTTCCAACTTCCATTTTTTCTTTAGTATTCTGATTCTTTCTGAGGGAGCAGGAAGAATCAGTATACTGAAAACCCTCTTCCAAAGGCTGGTTACACTGTGTGCATTTATCCATTTATCACACAAACCTGGGGATACTGTGAGCTAATCTTAGTGCAATCTACCAGTCTGGCATCATTTAAGGCCCTTTACGAATGGCACTACCTCTTTCCACTATTACCTCACACTATTCCATTTCACACATTCCATTCTTTATCTAAATTGGATTATTCCCCACTACCCTTACATAGATCCTGCATTTTCCTGCTTTCTTGCTTTTGTCCACAGCTTCCTCCATGGCTAGATTGCATTTCCCCATGCAGTCTCTTTGTACTAATATCCTAATCGTCTTTTAAAGCACAGCAAAAAAACCAACTTCTCCATGAAATCTTCCATGATCTGCCCATACCACATCCTTCCCCATACTTCCAGTAGCCCATTTGTGTGTGTGT